CGTATGAGTATACGTTGCCCAGGGTGCACCACGTGGAGGTAAGTCTATCGCACACCCCGGCATTTCAATATTATTTTTGGTTATGTACCATTAGCATAGCAGTTCACGTTCCTATCTGTAGGTACAGAGATTGAAATCCATTGGTGCACATCCTGTGGTATCAATGAGTGACAATATCCTAATTTTTCACCAGGTCGACTCTATGCTGCTACTTCTCTGCCTAAGATGTGATTAACGGAACGCTTTCCTGACTGGATTTTAAAGCTATCACATATAATTAGAGACGATTCAGTTCTCTATTAGGCCACGCTTGGATGCACTCTATAGTAATTTAATTGCGGGCAAATATTCTTCTAATTTTTAACTTTTTTTTCGCACAAATCGAGTATATACGCCTCATTTCCTGTTGGTTTCCTGTTTTTTTACGGTATGATTTGTGTCACCCCAACTATGAGTAATGCATATACGCCCATCTATTGTTTTCTGCATGCTTTAACAGCCCATTGAATTGGTAATTTTGTGGTTCGGATATTTTCCGTTGTGTATCTAGTGATTTAGATAATCCGTCGCAGAGGCCTGTCGCTTAAAGCGGGAACTAAAGGTTGGTGAAGTCTATTTTCAATATGCGTGTTCATGTCATCTCATGCTAATTGGCTGTTTGGGACTTATTGTCTCACATTTACAACTTTGCAGTATTTGAATGCGTTGTCATGCTTTCGTCTATTGTCACTTGCCGCACAAGTTACAATTATTAAATGTGCAGGACTCCACTGACAGCCAGTAGGCAGTGGGAGGTGTGGGGGGGGGGAGAGGGAAGTGATTCAGATAAATCACGCCATTGCCACACTTGATACTGTTCACTTCATTGCTTTCACTCATACTTCGTGTGGAGTCGCTGGCGTGTGCTTAAGTAAAAGATTCTTCCAAATGGTGAGGAAATTGATTTGCCTAAAAGTCCACCCATTTTAATTCAGTCTGTCTTTTTCAACTTTCCGTTCCTTTCACTAATCATCTAGCTTTTGGTAAAAAAACCAAATACTTGCCTTCAGGCATAGTTGACATTTTAACGCTAGTAGCAACTTTTTAAACTCTCCATTAATCCCACCTTTTTATGATCCAAATATTGTTCACCTCCCAAATGTATGTCTGAAATGTACGTCTGCTAATGTTTAATGCCAATCAATAATAGAGCACAATTATAGTGTTGCTGGAAGGTCGAATCGAATATTTCCATTGAACTTAAATGAATCTCGCAGTTATTGAATGATTGAATCACTACACCACGAACTTACCCTTTTTCTAATGGGGGACCATTAATTTCGAGTCTACTAAAATATATCCTCTTAAAATATAATGCTATTTGAGTTTATCTGTCCTACCGTAGTGTGTCTGAGCAATTACTGCTATGCAGTATGGTCTAATGAACAGCAGATTATATAGGTGACTATCTGCCGTCATATCAGTGATGAGAGCTTTATGAGGCATTTGATAGTTTTATCAGGAAAGAATGTTTGCTGACTCCACAAGTTGATAGTTTTTAAAGAAAGCCACACGATAGGGAAATTACACTATTACTATAGCCTTAATCGGACCTCGTCTACAGCTCCGAAACCAGAGCAAGCTGATCTCACGCTCCCAGCGAAGTCCCAATAATTGAATTTATTCTGTCAATTAACTGGCACCGCGATTAGTGGTTTTCTTGGTAGTCCTCAATAGTCAGGTTTAGATTTGGGGGGTGAGGGCGGCAGTCTGGATGCCAAACGTATATTGTGACTGGTGTAGTCATGAAAAGTGGTCAGCAATCTTTTTGACTTCCCCCTGATGTGTAGCATGAGGGGGTGGAGGGGAGCAAATCTTACTGCAACCATACCTAGGGTCTGCCATTAGCATCCCCTGAGATTATGTAGTGCAAATGGAATTTAATTAGGTCGTCTATTATTTTGCTTTCTTCCATCCACGACAGTCTTATTACAATTCTCCAGTTTATGACAGCTTCTTTTCACAGTGTTAAGGGATCAGTGAACAGTGTCCATAATGTCTTTATTCGGTTGATCGGTACGAATCATCTTCCAGACATTATTCATTCTCGTTGTTATCACGTCAAGTCAAACAAACTTTGTGAGAAGGCAATTGAAATCAACTAACAGTCCAAAGATGTGGAACGAAATGTTAATGAGAGTGAATTATGAAGTTAAGCCTAGTATTTAATCGATTATGTGTAATTTCGGAGTCCTTGAATTCACTGCTATCTTGGAGGCCAATTATTTTAAGTAGTATAAATGTATTGGCTTTCTCTTAACTAGAGTCGAACAATAATCGCTTAAGTGGCTGTTTCTGTCAATTGGCCCTGGGGGCTATTTAGCAATTTATTATACACAATGTCCAATATTGGGCATTCCTCTAATAAGGATGGTCACTACTGCCACCTCAAATCGTTCTTATCTTTCACAATTTGCAAAATCAGAATGGTCTTGCATTAATATAGTAGAGCTAGAAGGTAAGGTGAAATATTTACGTCATGTGCACATTCGGCGTCTTTTTTGATTCGCTATAAAAGTACATACCAATGTTATTAATTATCTATAATACATGTATTTTTTTGTCATATTTATTTTAGCACGGGATGTTTTCCACTTGAATGTGACCAAATACTGCCATGAAGATTTGTGCGTGGATGCCGCCTTCTTTGAGATCTACAGTGGTAAGGTTTTCGATCTTCTCAACAAGAAGACGAAGCTGCGCGTACTGGAAGATGGCAAGAACCAGGTACAAGTTGTGGGTCTTCGTCATGAACCGGTGCATTCTGTTGAAGATGTTCTCAGACTTCTTAAACACGGAGCTGATAGTCGAACATCGGGAATAACCTCCGCAAACCAGCACTCAAGTCGGTCACACGCTGTCTTTCAGGTGAGTTGTCTTCCCTCTCTTAGTTTACTTGACGGCACCAACCAACAAACCTTGAGACTACTAAAGAGGTGGCAGAATTCAAGTTACATTCCATAGGATAGCCTGCTCTTTTCCTTTACCCAGGATGAGGGTGGGAAAGCACTTTGGTAAAATGAAATATGAGTTTTTTATTGAGTATGACCTCAAGTAAGCCTATTCTAATGGGAACTATGCCAATTATTCCCTCAATGTGCATCGGGTTCATTCGCCTTAATCCTTTTTTCCCAACAATAAGCTGCATGTCCTTAAGCTACTAGAACGGCTGCTTTTACATACCTAAATGAAAGTCTTAAATGGAGGGCAAACGTTTCTAATATTTTCTTATCTTTGGTTCTTGTTTTTTTTTCACGTTTAATTGGTTTTTGTAGCTAATTCTCAAACGCCGAGGCACGAACAAGTTGTTTGGCAAATTCTCGCTCATTGATTTGGCAGGCAATGAGCGGGGTGCCGACACGAGCTCCTCCGATCGGATTACGCGTATGGAGGGTGCGGAGATCAACAAGAGCCTTCTCGCTCTTAAGGCAAGCCCCACTTTCCCTTCCCTTCCTTTATTTTAATTTATATTTTGCAGTATCTGATCTAATCCCATTGTTTTGTCCTTACGAGTATAATCCTTTATCTTGGCCTATATTTTATATCACCATCTGTTACAATATGATCCATTTTATAGTGATTGAAGTAAGCTAAATTAATCCGTTATTCTAAATCGACATTATTCTTTGAAGTGATACAATCCTTCCAGTGGACACTATTATCTATGTTTTCTGTTGAGGTGATCGAATGAAAAATACTCCAATGAGCACATAAGAAATTACTCTCTGGAACTATTTAATTAGAATCAAAACCCTGTTATACAGCAAGGCAGGGATGTTATAGACGTGGATTAAATTTTAACCATTTTTATAAAAAGGAAGGAAACAGTGAATAATTTGACCTGTTCTCCACTTTAGTTGGGTTAAAAGGATCTCGAAAATTGATCGAAGTCTACATTGGTTTATAAATAACTGGAACCTAAATCAATGGGTTAAAGGTCACACATTTGTAATGTTTTCAGACAAGTGAGTCAAAAAAGGCACAGGAATCTAGTTTTTCGATGGTGCGAGCAACCGTGGTATTCCCCCTCTTGAAGACTCAGAAAATTCGTATTGACTAAATCACATCCGAATGTGTTGCGCAAATTTTGACTGTTCAGATAGGCAATTTGTCGAAGTCTTTGTTCTCGTTTTGTATTCTCTACTTATTTACTCATTACAATTGCTGTCTATTCTAGGAGTGTATTCGAGCTTTAGGTCGTAAGGGTGCTCACCGGCCCTTCAGAGCCAGTAAATTAACCCAAGTACTGCGTGACTCCTTCATTGGCGATCGATCACGAACCTGCATGATTGCAATGATCTCGCCTGGCATTTCCTCCTGCGAACATACCCTCAATACACTGCGCTACGCTGATCGGTATGTCATAATACTTAAACACTGACCATGTAACAGGGGATTATATCCAATCTACAATCTGAATCCAAAGATCAAGTTTATAAATCCTCTTTCTATGTCACGACCTTATGTTCCATTTCTACACGATTCCTCCCTTTTACTCCACCGCTTCGTTTAAACACCTTTCCATGGGGAAAAATTTTTTAGCATATTGCCTTACTGGGGGGGGGGATATTATAAAATATCCGACTCAGTAGCCATGTATGTTAATTTAGATAATTAGCTGGAATTGTATTTAAAATTGAAGACTTAGTTTTTTCGTCATAACCTCGAGGTCTAAACGAGGGTAGAGAATTAGCGTCGGTAACCATATTCCTAAAGTTGAAGCTCTATAAAGGTGATTAAAAGCAAGTTTTTTTTTGCTCAGGAATATAGGCGACTAAAACGCAAAAGTAATTTGGAGTATTATACAACTGATGATACAATCGAATATGGCGAGTTTGATTTTATAAGCTTCTGTTTTGTCGTTTTTTTAGCGTCAAAGAACTGGGCCCAGCAAATATCAACGGTATGTCGAAATTTAATGTTGATTTCTTTATTTCCCAATCCCCCACCCCTCCTCCCCCTCCCCCTCCATTCCCCAGTATCAATCGCACAGCTTAGGGTCGTTGTCCTCCCTTCCATTGTAAAGTTATGTGATTGCCGCGAATGTTTCCTTCTTTTCTCACAATTTGGCAGAAAATAGGAACAGAGACAACGGAAACTTTCAAATTTGAATGTGTAATTCTTCATTAGATTAAAAACTTAATTTGCCTCAGAAGTAGCGTCAGATTTTTCGGGCAATAGTTTTAATTCTAATTGTCCCATTTCAGTCAATGTTGATTAAATACATGATTGAGAATAGGGCATTAGTCAAATGACAAGGACCGTAATCATAGCTGCAACTGTGTAGAAATATGGTTTTCAAGGTAGAAAAACCCACCCCCCCCCCCAATGTGTCTCTTTCTCATCTCCATCGGTAGATGTTGTCTTGAGGACTGTGTATCCCGTGTCCAAATCGTATCAACAATGCGATATTTTGGTCAAGTGGACTAGATTGTCAAATAGCCATTTAAATCCCTTTGTTTTACCTCCTCCCCATTTTGCCATGCGGAGACAGTGTAATGGTCAACATCCATAATGTGTGCATCTAAAGGATGTCAGAATGTATTGACATGGTTTCTAAACTGGCCAAGGGTGAGCTACCGAAGGCTATTTTCTCGGTGGACAGACTGCGAGAAGTTACTTGCTCAAATGAGCGCTGAAAAGCACTTCCCTCCAATGCGACATTACTGCAGAACTAAACACGTTTATCTGCCAAGGTCATGTGACCGATTTTTATCTGTGAATGGCTAGTTTTGGTCTAAAAGAGGGTGTTAGAATTCTGTCTACCTGATAAAATCTCTCCCATTAGGATTACATCACCACTTGTCTCTTTATAATGCAGCAGGTCTCGACCGCAGGACAGCTTCTCTCGCTTCACTTTCATGTGCGTTTCTTATCTAAAGCTGATCTATTGTAAAACATTGATGCGCATTTTGCTATAATCGCTTCTTCACTCGCCTGTATATAATTTGAAGCATAAGCAAGCGTCACTCGGTGTGCCTGTAGCCTAATGACTAATTCTCTTTCCTTTCCCTTCCTTACCTCATTGTTACTCTTACTCAATAAGCTCTTCAACGAGGTGACGACTTTCGAACCAAAGCTTCTTGTCGTAAGTTGGTTTTTTCCTTACATCCTACGGCATTGCTTTCAAGTTGCTGAAATAGCTTAAGTAGGGGGGCTGCCACAACACTTACTTCTTTCTAACAAATCTGCCTACTCCTACTCCTAATGAGCAGTGGTGTAGCAGTCAATGCGGATATCCACACTTTTGACAATTGTGCTCTCGATTTCATCTCATCTTTTTACCTGGAATGTGTGTTGGAGGTTTCAGATTTGAGACCCTATTGGTACACTCTAACTGAGTAGACTAATCAGTCACACTGCTTTTATAGTGCAGTCACTTGAATAATTTGGGTTGCATTCTAATTTAACAGCTCGTTTCTTAATTCTAATAAAATTATGTTAAGCTGACAATTGCATTGCATTGCCTTCTATCAGCCTAAAAAAATTTAAAGGTCGATGAAATGAATTCAGTTACACATCAACTTAATTTCACTTAACTCTACGCACACCTTACCGGGCCTAATATGTTCTATGGGTTACGTCTTTACTCCTGCTTACTTTCGAATAGCAATCTATTGGTGGTCGCTTCAATAATTTCACTTGGGCTTACTTAAATAACATCCAAATTTCTATTTTCCAGGCGGAACCGGAAATGGAGGCCAGGGAACAGGTGATGCCAACTACCTTGCAGGTCAATTCTCCACTCGTGGACCACAGATAAGTCGAATGAGCGCAGCAGGTGGTGGTGGTCGTGGAGATCCTTCAGGAAATGTTCTCTACTCCTCTTATAACGGAAGTGGTGGTGTGTCCCTTCACGGTTCATCAGGTGGTGCCTACGGTGGTGCATTGGATGAAGCCGATTATGATGACGAGAATGATGACGATGACCTCGCGATGTTAAGATCAGCCAATGTGAGTTAAGAAAGTAAATTTCTAAGCTAGGGTCTATCTGAAGTATTAGCTTATCTGTTAGTCAATAGCCCTTTCAGTAAAAGACAGAATGTTGGTACCATGATCAGAATTTGGCAATTTTATTTAACGAACGCTACGTTTCGTAAATATATCAATATCTCATATGCCGTGCGCTTCTAGTATAGCAGCCGAGTTAGAGATTATGAATCGGATATTCGCCAATGCGCTCCCATTGAATAACTTTATTAACTGTAGTGTTTAAATTGTGATAAGACTGGGGTTATGGCCTTTGAGTTTATTTAAGATGCTGTCTCGTTGTTCAAGATGGTTTTAAAGTGCACCCTTTTCAATGGACTTGTGAATGGTGTTTGTTTACTAGCTGTAAGTGATCCAAAGAATAGAGTCGCTAGCATTGCGTCCACACGAGGGAACTCGACAGAGAAATTAGCTAGCGAGGTCGAATGTCGGTGTTAGTGCAATTGGAAGTGAGATTCGCAGCAAGATGTGCTGTGATGTGAAGTGAATCAGCCTGAAAGCGCCATTTTCATAGTCTGCTTTTATAAATGTGCAAATTAACTATCCTCATTTTCGGATTCTTTATGCTCTCTTCTTTTTTTCTGCAGACCGTATGTTGGGTGTTGCACAATTACCTTGTTTTTTGCTTGTTTGCCTATTTTAGAGACGAGATTTTGTTATTTACTGTTTGGGGGCTTTTGCAGTTATCTCGTTTGAGTCGTTTCTCTAGGTGATTAATCGTGTCGTTTCAAGTGTCATGTTAATGTAATTCCATTGTCTCTAGGACGGAGAGGTCTCGGAGGAATTGTTCAACTTCCACGAGGTCGTTCGACATATTGAACAGCTGGAGGAAGATGTTTGCGATGATCATGCAACTCTATGCAATGTGAGTTCGTTGTGTTTTTTTTGAAAAATCAATTTATCACAAATAAACTGCTTAACATGCTTTGATCGGAGCAGCTGGTACATTTGTTGTCAAAAATTGTGCTTCGGGCTGTTGAATTAAGATTAAAAGACGGGATTAAAATATTTTTTACCAACATCATTTCCTCCATAAGATTTTTATCATGATAATGTTCTCTCCCTTTCTCTCAAATCATACCAAAATTTGATTGCGATAGTGGTAATTTTGATTGGAATTTGTAATTCCCTATGAAGTTTGCTGACAATTGAGGGTGATAGAGACTAATAGCTCTCTGACTCATGGTGGCACGTGTGTAAGTGGTCTCGCCTACGTAATGCGTGGGAGGAATTCGGGTGTTTGATTAATCCGCTTTCGCACAGTAAATTACACACCCTCATAGTTGCCCACTTCACATTTCCTTCTCTCAATTTTAGAATATGGTAAAGTGGACCACAGAACACCAGCGACTGCTGAAAGAGACCATGAAAGTTCCATACGACGTCGAAGGTGCGTTTCTTCTATAGCTTACTACTTGGAATTGAGCACGGATCAAGTGTAGGAATTGCCACGTTAGCAGTAGACACTTAATGAGAAGTCACGGAATCGCGATAGTCATTGTATGATTATTGAAAAGTGATTAATGCAAGTGCTGCAGAATATTCATTGGTGCAAATCCAGCAATGCGGGTGGTCAACTGCGCTGTCTAAGTCTGATCACCAGGAGTGGTAATAGAATGCGAATTATTTGAAAATGCCTTAACTGACTTTAAGTCAGGCGTTGTTGTTATCACTTCCGCCCAGTGAGCTTAGAATAATCGAATCGAATCGATGAAATTTGAAATATAGTTCTTATAAAGGCCAACATACAGGCAATATCTCCATGGTGTAACAAATAACCACAAAAGCACTAACTTTTAGGGTACTTGTCTGCGAAGTTAGAGTTTCGGATTTAATGATGTGGAATGACCAACATTGTTGGTCAAGTCCGGTTAGTAAAGCAGTGATCGAATCTGGATTTCTCAATGGGACGGCTCTATGATATCAGCTTATCCGGGTCGGGGTTTGGAAAGCGTTTCCTTACGTGGGTTAGAGAGTTATATCGTATCGGTTTTCTTTGGATTGTAAAAATACATGCACAACCGAAAATGCATTTATATGAAGTAGAATTTATTGGCTCAAAATTCTTTATTTTAGCTTACGCTTCTCGTTTGGAGGAACTACTGTCAACACAGGCTAATTCCCTTCTGGCTCTCAAAGGTAGGCTTATTTCTCAAATTCCATTGGTTAATCTTATGTGTGCGAACTTTCTCTTACCTTGATGCATCTCTCATCTTTTTCCCTTCAATAGACAAGGTCTCAATGTGGCGACGTGAGATGAGACAGGAGGAGGAGATCAGCACCAAACTCAAGAAAGGCCGACGAAACTAGAAGGCTGCTTCTTCCTCCTGCCTCGAGGTTGCCTTACCACGTTGTGCCAGTCTCATTTACTGCTCCTTCCGTACCTTATTTTCTTGCGATCTCGAACCATGGTTAATGTTGCCTCATAACATGTCATGCGCCAAGGTCGAATGAACATCCTCCATATCACTTTCACCAGAACTAACACTGTTTGTGTTTGTGTCTACTACTGTCAGTTTTAAAAAGTATGTCTGAGACATTCCTGCCTCGTGTCCCAGATGGTTTTAATCCCCTCACTCCCCCCCCCATTTCCCCGTCCTTCTGTCGACTTTCTCACAGTCGTCATTTGTTCATATGTTGCAAGATAGTGAGAAAGAGTGTAAGAAATACGTAAAGTGAATAGAAAAGCTTTAAAAATAATTATTATTTGTTTATTCATAAGGTCGGTGGAAAATAAGTAGAGATTTCGATTTAGAGTTCTGAATCGTAGCATGTCCATTTATGCGATCAGTTGGATCACGACTGTAGTTGGGGGAAATGGGGAAAGGGTCATTTGGTTGTCTAACGAAAGTGGCTTTAAAGTACATACTAGTAATTACAGTGCCCTCATAAGTTGAGAGGGGGGGGGGAGGGAGGTAAGACGTAACTGCTTTATAATCGGAACATTACTGTACTGAGTAGTTCCCACTTGACTTCCAAAAGGGTGGTTATCCCCCACTTGATTGTCCACATGGCAGTATTGATTAAAGGGTAATTGATAAACTTTTCATTATTTATTTTCTAAGATAGCTTGAATCGAAATTTTCCTCTTAAGTTTTCTCAATTGAACGCTAAACCAAATCAGTAGACTATTCCATCTAGCGGAAGCAGATGTGTTTACGTAAGTTATCGTAAGCTTCATAAGGCGTGACAATGGTTTGGTAAAATTAAATGTAGCCGCATAAATACTACTGTTAGTAAATAAGTAGGATGGAATATATATGCTGCAAGCGTGTATATTATTAACACAGATATGCTTAGAACAAAAATTACATTTAATAGTTTGCAGCAAACAATCTTATGCAAAGTTCAGCAATGAATTGATATTTGTGTGCGATAATTATGCATTGAATTTAGTCACTTGATAATCACGAAGGTGTGACTTGGGCCAATTCACAATACTTGCGTCATCTAAGTTTGAATTTTTTCCGTGTTTTATTAGATTTTCTGTTGATTACTACACTTTTAAAAGCAGAATTGTAGTTTTCATGAAAGATCTGTTTTGATATCGTTTGGATAATTGTTGATGCAGATTTAATGTTCAGTGGATCGCACGACCTTATTTCATGGCAAATTTGAAAATGTTACTTCTTGGGCGGTTCTATTTACTAATTAAGGTTTCACTTTCAAGAGCTCTTATATCTCTCGAATAGGGGTGTGCGATGGACTTATCTCCGCGTGGTGCACCCTGACCAATGTATACTCAAGCGGCAAAAAAGTCGATAACTGGAAGTTGACTTCTCAATTCAAACTACCCTCACCCCATTGTATGTCATATTCGACTACTTACACAGTACTCATCTTACCTTTGTTCTACCTTTGTGTCTGTTTAAACTACCCTCACCCCATTGTATGTCATATTCGACTACTTACACAGTACTCATCTTACCATTTCTCGGCATTTGTGACTGCCTGTCTCTTTTACATCCGTGAATCACTCTTCTATTCCCTTTCTCGAATTTGTCACACCTTGACGTTCCTTCCTTCTGTGAAACCCGAAGGCTAATGATAAATATCAATACGCCTGCCATTTGAAATAAATAAATATCACTCGAATAATATCGCCATTTTGCATACTTGATTAAAATGATCAGCGTCTAATAGGCTCATTATAATAATTTAAATGAGTGCAATCAATATTGGCTGGTTAGATTGCAAGTACGGTTCCACAAATACAAAATATAATGTTTATTTTAGACTACTTCAGAAGTTTTAAGGGGTTAATATACGAACCCACAAAGTGCCATTTTAATAGTGTCTTACGAATTTACCATTTTAGACATTGACTGAGAATAGCCAAGGAGAACGTATCGTAGGTGGTAAATCAAATTTTATAATTGGGCCGAAACTGTACACGGATAGGGTTGACTAAACCCCATCAACCTCTGTGGCGAAATCCCCCCAAAATGTGCAATTTATCTCGGAATAAGCTAAGCTATCTCAAATCTATCGAGGAAATAGAACGTATGGTGTTAATACGATACAGCCTGGTCGTGTTGCTACCAAACAGCCTAGTAGTTAAAGTACGATTAATTCTGCGCTACGTTTGTGGGGACAATTGATTGGCGGTTGGGTAAGAGGCCTCTGCACTCAGCCGAGGATACACTTGAACACTTCTCAGATTCTGCCAATCATCTACTTGTACGAAATCCTCCCATCCCCTTAAAGAAGTGCGCACTCTCTTTATGGCATAAAATGATTGTTTTTAGAAGGGTAATAAAAGCAAGCAGTTACACGCTATTCATACTGCCAAGCAGAAGTTTTGTTTTATGGAGGTGGGTAGTGAGAATGATGGAGTATGATTCCCGAAAAAAAGGAAAAAAACAATACTGAAGGGGTCTTTTTGGTGACGAATGGGAGGTGTGTATGGCTCGATGCAGAAAAAGAATACATGTGCACGAATTAGCAATCGATACACAATAAAAGAACTCAAATTAGACCGGTGAAAAAGGTGACCTTCTCCCTAAGTAAAGTCTCTATTGGGGCAGAGAAGTGGAGCAACGAGGGTCCAGATGTAAATCAATGCGCAGACCCAAGAACTGACCGCCTTAATCCAGAAGCTGGCATGATTGGCAGAGAGTATGCCAGTACGAGTGTCGGGGGAATACCAATTTGTGATGGACATCATCACAAAGAAGGTTGCAAGAAACATCATGAAGTGGAACATTGCATAACTATATGCAACACTATCCTTTTCATTGTCCCAAACTGTCTGGCCATCCTGGTCGTAAGCCGATGTGCCGAATCTACTTGAAGAAGCTGCACCTGTTGAGTCAATATTTCCCTAGAAAATCAGGAGATTCATTAATGAATTATGAACGAATAAATTCACCCTACTGAAATAGGCATAAGCACACCCATAAAAATCAATATTTTGTGAGAAGATCATTGTTAGAAAGCATCAAAGTATTATCAGTTACGAATGAAAAAGTTTTGGTAATCAGCTGGTTAGCAAAAGCAAAAAATCGGATAAAAATTTGAGAATAGTAGGGATAAATAGTGACCCTTACTTGAAAATAATAAATACTCAGAGTGGGAAAGAGAGCGGGGATGAGAATTCTATTGCAATTCCATCGGATGAAACCATTAATAACATGAGAAAAGTATACAATAATTACAATTTCCCATTAGATTTACAAGCATGAGATCGAATTGCATTAAATGTTAATTAATAATTCAAACTAATCATGTATGGGTTAAATTGATCATCAGCTATAGACTCATCGGCAGAAACAGTGAATGGAATGAGCAAGCTCACTGGTTAAGTAAAAATAATAAGGGAGAGGGAGGGGAGAGGAATGAGGGAATTCGAGTTTTTTTCATCAGATGTGATCCTTGATGAAAGCTCTTTACTCAAGCCAATTGTCAGAAAAGGCTTTTCAAAATGGGTCTAGAAGCTCTCGATGGTTAAAGAGAAGTATGGATGAAAGCAGGTAGTTGGCTTTCAGGGCGTGGATTACTCAAACATCAATTTAGATCCTTCCAAAATGAAAACTATTTGCAATCTACTGCACAAAGAAGGAGCAATTCCTCGTGTGTTAGGAAGAGCTAACAGGCTAGAAAATGAGCAAAAAAGGGAATGCGGTGTACTCAATTGCTACAAATACTTACGCGGATAGTAATGGTAAAATGATATGACACTTTGCCAACACTATAAACACAATTTGATCATGTATACGAATTTTGGGCACCTTTCTAGTAGCCCTCGACATTTGTTTAAAGTTATTTGAAATGTCTACTCAATTAAATCAGTAGTGCAACATTTTAACATCACTTCGTTGGTCAGAATTAAGCGTAAACCAAAATACCGTTCTATAAGGGACTAGAAATTTCACTTAACAAAGCCAGATAACCCTTTTTAACTAATGAGAAGTAGGCACGAATTTCCACTCTGTTCAACCTCTGTTTTATTGACCTCCAGTGCTCCCAAGGCCTCCTAATTATTGCTACGGGTTGATGACAAGTGACGAATTGGGTAATGGTAAGGAACTCGAATAGTAATAGCAAAAACTGAAATTAGAATTTCCGCAAACAAATCATTTATAAACTGTATCAAAAACACACCAATCGGAATACAATTGGTGATCAAATCACATATTCGCCAGTTTACAAAGTGGGCGTTCACATTCGAGTTGAAACTTATCGCATGTTGGAGCCTGTTTGAAAGCGCTGAATCGCAAAAGGTTAATATATTCGCAAATACACTTACTTACTAATCAAACAAACTACATTTTGGAACGTGAATGTGAAGTCTGAATGTTCCGACCTCGAAGTCAGGGACTTCTTTTACGTTCAAGTTGCGATTTATACCGATCGCCAAAACGCTTCTACCAAGATTGATGATTAGCTTTTAGGCTGGAAATATGCCAGGTGTATGAGGCCATCAAGAACTAAGATTTGAAGCGAACTTTATCACAATCAGGCACTTTTCATTTTGGTAGGCAAATAAAACCTTGCAAGATTGATTAGTGATATGTAACTCCCAGTGAGGTAAAGCCACAAATAACTTTCGTTTGCTAACATACAGGCTTCCCTACCGGAATTGGCCAGTTAACAACTTCTCATATGATTAAATCACTTCAATGAACGGCACCCAGCATTAAAATAATACGTCACCTTCAAATGAATAACAAGAGTGTCAAATAGGTAAACCATCGATTGGGCTCAAACGTCGATTAGTCTCTCACGTAACGAACAAGTAGAATAATAGCCACAAATAAAGAATAGCACTTCATTCGGATTGGCAACTCGAATAAAGCATTAGCATGGCCTGGTTGCGTTACAATTCAGTAAATATAGTACGTAAAATAGGCACACAAAAGGCATTAGTCAAATCTGTTTCAAATAAACTCACCGACAGTGGAATTGGCTGAAATGAATAAACATGCAAACCGATCAAATGCTAATTAATAAACAAAGGAAAACGCTTTTTAAGGCTATTTCATAAAAAATGGAATGAGCTAAAGCTGAAAACGATATCACATGCTTCAATTAGTCTCCAGTTATAGTTTGAAAACGGGTGTGAAATTTGGACAAACAATGTGTTGAATCTTCTCCCAATGTGACTAAAAGAACTTTAACGACTTTAAAACCATACAGCAATCGACACATTTACAAATGAAAAGCTATTTTTGGAGTTTATAAGACGGAGCTTAAAGAGACACGGGTACTGTCAAAAATTAGCACAAGCCACTAACACGCAGAGCCTAGCATTTTTCACTGTCAATACCTACCACTTTTCTCACTATATATGGCATACTGTGAGCAACGTACCTAACTGATAAATCGTGGATCATGAGGTTGATTGTCATTGGTGAACACCAAGTGACACAAATGGCCAACGACAGTGATTATAACCTAAGTCAATAGGATGGGTTGTAGAAAGCGCGTTTCTCATAATCTTCATCGAGCCTGTTAAAACAATAGCGACAGTATACATTCTAGGGGAAGTGACTTGACAATGAGGTGATCACATGATCACATTAAGCGTATTGGAATCGAAACGAGTAGGCAAGTGAAACAGGACACTATGTTTCGGGCTCGATGGACGCATTTTCACTAAATACTCAGTTCATTAGCAAAGTCTCAATGAAATTGAGTGCTCATATAGTGGCTCCACTTACCATCTTCTTCCTAAGATCCAAACACCACAACTTAGTGCATGTCTAAACCTAGCAGGATTTGGCTAACAAACACGAATCAACAGGAACATAACACAAATCGAAATTACTCGCAAACATGCACGAATAATCAGCACATGCTTCAGTGAAATAGCTTAAAAGTCTAAACTTAAATTCAGCTGGGTTTCGAAAAAACCTCACAACAACAACAACAACAACAAAAAATGAGGAAAAATTACACGAAACAGGTAGATTCCCGACGACACTCAGCATCAGGAATAGACTTACAGAAAACGTGAGACGCCCAACTTTGTCGTGCGTGGAGTTACGAATGCAAGAGTAGACAACAGAGCAGAGGAGAATGATGAGAGAGACACAAGTTTGCCAGCCGAAGTTCAAATCAGCCGAGACAACCTCGATGGTTGTGCCGTTCTCATACGTGATGGTCGTATTGATCGTGCGCAAAGTGGGATTGCACTTGACATCAGGGATATTAACCAAGGCGGACCAAGTTAAGTACATGATGTAGGCGGAAATAAATGATGACTACAAATGAGACATCAAATAAGATTAGGGCAAATCAGGAATTTAATACCATTAAAAGGAAATGACTAGGCCACTTCGTACCAAGAAAGACTTTCATTCAAGGACCAAACACACCTAATTTTATTTTTTTCGAATTCTAAAATCATCATCATATTTCTAAACAGACATTTCGGTCACCGACTACAAACTGAATTGACTGCTTTGCTATTTCTCAATCACGGTTGACTAGGAAAGGATTCAAACATTATGTATTAGGAATATAAAGTCGATGCTTTCCCGAAGTTTGCAAATTAAACGAAGCCACATCATGCGGAGGTTGATTGAAAAGGCGATCATAGCTAATTTCCAAAAATAGTAAATTGACACCGAGTTGGGGATAAATTTTATCCCATAATTTTGGATAAAATGAAGAAAATGAGATAAAACGAAGACAGCTGCCTTAGTTACTTAAACGATGAGAAATGCATTTTAGTATACCAACTTACTTCGCAAAAGTTCCCTTCACATCTGTATTTTGGGTGACTTTCAACAAAGTATTTGAAAAGGTAAAGCAACCAACTCACTCATAAGTTCCTTGAAAGATATTATATGCATACTTTGCCCAAAAAATTTTTCAGTTTTATTCGAATGAAAAATTTCCACCCGAAAACAATAAAGTAACAATTGAAAAGGCGGTTTCAAAGTGTCATAGTGCAAATAAGAATTTAAAACCAAAAGACTTATTAATTCTACTAATTTAAAGAAATCGAAATAACAAAAACGGAATACTAAATACTACAAAAATAGATCCACAATAAAATGAGTAATGAAAATAGATACATCTGTGAAAATTTTATGCAATATGGAAAAAGTTAGGTTAAATCCCAACTAGGAATAGAACCAAAGCATGAATTAAAGAACCAACCTGAAGTAGACCTGAAGTGGGTAGCTTATCTTGCACCGAAGGAAGAATGGAAATGATACTGAAGATAACGCAGAGGAACAAATTGATGCTGACTAGAATTTTGCCAAAATGACAAGTTGGTCCAGATGCGAAGTAGACATAAAAGCAGACAATTGCTGCAATCGTAATGGAGTAAAACATGATAGTGAGAAATACGACTCCAGAAGCGTAAAGTCTGTTTCCAGTTTCTTCATAAGCTGATTTAAGCCTTTCATTCAAAGAATGCGCAAAATCAATCAAAAGAATCAATTGCACGAAAGTGAAAACAAATGCCCCAATTAGACCGAAGATTCTCCAAACATAAAGGAATTGAGGATCACGGATAAAGAAGGCGCCAACCATGAGGCCAATTATTGCAAGAATCTTGAAGAACCAAAAACCATTATGGATCCTAGCTCGGAAATCAGCGGACGTTTGCACTCGGATCGTAAATAGGAAGAAAACAAAGAAAAAGATCACCAGAGAAAAGCACATCCTATAAACGGCCCCATAACCAGTAATAAGATGACAAAAGTCATCGTCAGTACCCGGACATAGTGTTGGTATCTTTTGCAAAAGATTTTCGATTTTAGGGATTAAACAAATAGAGGAGAATATCATAACAGTGAGCAAGATTGCGGAGTAAAATAGCCTTGTTGATGTAGAGCTTCTACACGATGGTAAACATTTGCAGCACAAGCTCGCCGCTGCATCGCAGAAACAACAGGCCACACAGGAGAGCAAGCAACCCATTTAGAATAAATATGTTTGGATTTTACTGAGGTTTATAATACTAAATGTGAGTTAAATAAATCTATCGCCAATAATGAACGCAAGGTCGATTGGTGTTTAATACCGCAGGTAACTAAAACATGCATGGATTAGCTTTTTTCTTTTTCTAATTTAGTTTTTTATTATAATAAGTCCATATCGGTTATTCTTTGATAGAATTGTTTTAAGTTGCTGGGGATTTCGGTTTTCATATTGTCATTGTCACAGTGGCATTTATGAAAAAATTATGCCTAATTAATAGTTTCAAAACGGCCCTCTTTTGCATGTAATAATAAAAGAACACTATGCAATTTAATAATCCATTAACGCATCGTATTGTTCAAGCAAGGCGCACAACCCTTATTTTTTGATTTTTGGTTTGATGATTATCTTTGCTTCAGTAAGACATATGGCTTTACACATTACCCAAAACTCACTAAATAAATATAGAAATTTATTATATTCATGTTATTCTTAAAATGGCTAACTAATATTTTTCTAAATTATTTTGTTCTTTAGATCACTATTAATTTTGAATTTTTTTTCAGAAAATTCTTGTTAGTTTATTGATGACTGATCCTGTGACTATTGTACGCCTTTCAACCTGACTCTTATGTGTTGTTAAACCTTAAATTCTTGCTTATTTTGAACTAGTTTTACAATAATTCAATAGTAATATTTAAAGCTGTAATATTTCTTCATACCGAACAGAGCCCCATTCTCAAATTAATCCGTGTAACTTGATGAGTATTGCAGCATGAATTAGCCTTTACTTATGTTCAAAATCACTTTGCCACGAAACCCTTGACAGGAATGACTTCCGGAGTTAGCCACTCTGTCTTAAAGACATTGGGAAGCTGACCTGTGACGTGGAATACTTTCATTTTTGCTATGTGCTCCCTTTGAGAGGTATTGACCTGGAGCTTAATAATTACATCCTGTTTGAGCACTTAGACTCTGTACCATCTATTGATCGTTGATTGGTAGAGAGGTTTCTGCACTTGTGATACCGGTTGCGATTGGCATACCGTTGTCTAGCCTGGCTTTCACTCCAAAATTTAATTTTCCCCCTTAGCCCTCATATATTTGAAAAAGCACGGTATTACTCAAATTGTTTGAATAAATTGATCATGCTCTAAGCCCGATGCTGGTCACATTGCTTAAAATTGTGATGTGCGTCGGAATTATGATTTGAGCTCTCTATACAAAATGCAAAGTTGTCTGAGATAACTTCCGAGGGAAGAAAGATTTTACTATGTAATCAAGATGATATTTGCAAAACGATCTGAATGCATTTAATACCATATGGTAGAAAACAAATAATGATATTAGTGCTCCTATATAAGGATATACATTTCTAAAGCACATACAAATCGCGAATTACAGGAACAAATTCTGCAGGATAACGTAAAATAACAGAATATAATTGTTCAGAAAATTAATAACATTTAGATTTAGGTCTGAGATTTAAAAATATGCCAACCAAATAGGAGTTTAGGAGAAATCACGATCTGGAAACATAGAAGGTGCAACAAGCGTCCACGTGTAGAGTGCTGCACAAAACCAAGAGCTGACCGCTTTGATCCAGAAACTTGCAAGACTAACATGAAGTATACCAGTAACCTGGTTAGGTTCTAACCAGTTTGTGATTGACATCATCACAAAGAGGGTTGCAAGGAACATCATGAAGTGGAACATTGCATAACTATATGCAACACCGTCCTTTTCATTGTCCCAAACTGTCTGACCACCACGTCCACTTGTCTCACCAGCTCCTGCTTCTGCTGCATTTGAAGTGTCCATTCCGCCCTAGAAGTTCAGAAAAATATGATGAATACACCAGTAAGTAATTCAAGCTACTTTAAATGTAATAAGTAAACCATTTAGATAAGGTTTCGGGGTGGCAGAGGTAACGAGATCAATGTGTATTCAGTGATATGGTTAAACAATCGATCTGAATAATTCTACTCAACAAGAGAGTGAGAGAAGATTGTGGGTTAATCGTAGAAGAAGTCCCGGACAAGTACCTCTCTATCCTGACAATGAAGCCTTGGAAAATTTTTAGAGTGATGCCGTGACGAAAAACAAAAGGCAATGTCTATTTTAAGGCTTTTGTCGCCTAGGGCTTTTTTAATCTGATTCCATCTGAGAAGGCACGCACAAAACTGCTTGGAAAATAATTAAAAAGACAATGAAAAAGAACTTATATTAATTGAAATGAAGAGTGCTACAATTTAATTCAATAGTTCACTCGCAAGGCAGCTTATTTAAAATGAAATAAATTGGAACAATCGTATTGGCAACTCTCTACTATTAATTTACTTTGATAAGGAGTTTGGTGTCCACCAAGCTAGTTTTAACTTCGGATATTCATGAAAGCCTCAAGTAAGGTAACAGACGAAAATAAGGAAATATTGTTTGAGGTGACATCTAGACAACCATTTATTCAATGATTGGATATGGCCAAATCGAGTTTGGCCGAGAGTTTGATCAAAAAGATGGGAAAGAAGGAGAGTTCGAGCTTGAAGGCTTAATGCGCGGAAGGGGGGGGGAGGAAGATACAGACAATTTACCAACTAAAATCAATGCGAAAAGTAGGCAATTACAAAAGTGGCTATAATCCAAGCGTCCGAAATATCGTTTCGATAAGGAGAGGCAACAGGAAAAAGAGAAATTGGTAGTTAACAGGCATTGGATCACCCGACAATCTTCTCACTTCACTTTTTTGCTTTTCTACGAACCGCCGCCCCACTCCCCCCTTCTTGGTATTTATCAACTCGAGTCTACAGTCCCTTTGTTCGATGCCACACATGATTTGGAATAGTATAAATTTCATCGGTTATTTAAAAAGTAAAGCAAATGTCCGAAAATGAAAAAAAACAAATGATCAACTGTGAGGGTTTCAATTAAGTAGGATAAGAATACCAAGTGATCAATATCAAGTGCTTAATTTAGATGTGTAGATCTGCCAGTTTCAGATGAGGGGTGGGGGGCATTTCGTGGTCACGTGCTTGGCCTCAATTTCTATTGGTCAGTCCGAGATGAAGAAATTCAGTCAATTATATGTTAAGGCAAGTTGCCAGCAGTTTTTCTAACTTATTACAAGCTTAATAGATCTAATCACTCAAACACGCACACTGAGTGCCAAGCGTTGAGCAGAATTGTAAAGGCGCGAAATAGAACAGGATAAAATGGTTCTTCAAAAAGACGAACTTCTTTCAACCACTAATAATAGCAGCATTATTTACCAATAAGCCCTCGATCAAAGCATATTCACGAAGGAAATAATAGCCCCTAATCAGATTAACATACTATTAATAATAGTGGGGTATGAAATAGACTTACCTCCACGTGGTGTGGACAGCGTATACACATACGGCAAAAAAGTCTATCAATCGGCAGTTGACTTCTGACTTCAAAATACCATGACCAAACTGTATGTCACACATTCGACCACTTTCACAGTACTCACCCTACCTTTTCCTGCCTTTGTGCCTGTCTGCCTCTTTTACATCTGTCAATCACTCTTCTGATCCCTCCCCCTTTCGAATTTTACTCACTTTGATGTTCCTTCCCCTACGTGAAGTCTGAAGTCAACTAAAGGGCTAATGATAACTATC